TACTACACTATACTATACTATACTATACTATACTATACTATACTATACTATACTATACTATACTATACTAATTTGTAATATATTCTTTATTATACTAAGCTATACTTTTCTATACTATAATATACCCTATTATAGATATATTGATATTTTTATCCAATATGGTCTTTATACTGGTGCTATATAGACATTGTTACTCATTTATTTAGCCCTATTTCTAATTTCTACACAATGTCATATTGTATATATTAATGTTGTGACAGCAGTGGCAAATATATGATTGCCTCATGAAAAGTGCCCCAATGAATATGCCTTGGAAGCGACTTGGCATTTGTCTTTAGCTAACCGGCGCATGTTGCTGTAGACAAGTTGGTGACGTGCAGTCGCTTGAGGAGGAGGGATAGTTGAAAGGGCAGTCCAGTTGAGGGTAGAGCAACTTTTGTGCGGCAGGTACAATGCTCAAATGGCTTTGCTCAATTCAACTGTCCTCATTTACACCGTCTTAAGCGACGAAGAGTGACTTGAGTTCCATTCCTCTTTACCCACAAAACGCAGCAAGTGAAGTCAATTTGTTCAACCCGTCTGTACCACGTCCAGCACGAGGATCTACAACCCCAATATTTTGCACTGGCCTTCCAGACATCAGCAGGTCTCATCTGCGATACGATATGCCTGCGCTATGACATCCTTTGCCAATCTCTGTTGAGGTTTCGTGTGTTTGAACTATGTTAATGCGTGTGATTTGTATACGGAAGTGTGTGTATTTGAGCCGAAGAGTGTAAAAGAGCGATGATGTGTGAATGTGTATCTGGCTTTGCCGATTTGCAGAGATCTGTGTCGACATGTTACCACTTGTATTCGCCCGTGTGTGCATGTGCATGTGTGTGTGTGTGTCCGCGTGAATGAATGGGGAAGTGTGTATATGTGTGAATATGCTTAGTTGTGTCTATTTGTGCTCGAAGGTGCATAAACGTGTGCAGATGAGTGTGCATTTGTGTGAATGTTTGTCAATATGCATCTATGTACGTGTGTATATGTGTGTGTGTATGGATGTGCGGTTGGATTCACGTGTACAGGTGTGGGTTGACGCGGTCTAGCGCCGTGTGTGAATGTTGATTCCGTGCACTGTCCAGTTGAGGCTCGAAGAACAATCGGAAAAGGTTGCTGACATTCACAGTCCCAACAACAAGAAAATGTGCTTGTTACGACTTTGTCCTCGTGTCGACAGGACTCGAGCCAAGCGGGTCATACTGCGCTCGCATTTGGCACGCGAGCCGGATGTAACAAAGTGGGCCCGCCGATGTGGTTGGACTGTGAAGCGGACTTGTCTTTACTCGTCCTCCCCACACCCGTCACACACCCGCCCCACACCTCCTCCGTCTCCCAGGCAAGGCAACAAAAAACCGATAATCTGTTGTTATTAATGCTGTTGTTGTTGTTGCTGTGGTGGTGGTGGTTTTTGTTTTTGTTTTTGTTTTTGTT